TCTCATCATTGCTACATCGCACCCTGACTGGCTCATCTCCTCCCCGAGACCCCTCCGCAAGGGGATCTCCAGTGGCCCACCAACGGGCCCTGGATCTCCACTCCGCACTCCCCCCATCATTCACTATGGTAAGATTTTTTGTTCTGATGATGCCTTATACCTGATCCCTTCGACACCTCGTGGTTGCATAGGCTCACAGCCAGCCTTTAACAGGAAAGATAAAATCTGTTTGACCTCCATGGCTTTTTCATATGCGCTATATGACCCTCAATCAAATCTAAAATGTTATTGCAAGAAAAAAAATTGAATCCAGAAACCAGGAGAAAATAAACAGGTCATTGAAACTGTCCCCCATAAGAATCCAGAAGAGAGTTATCAGGCACAGGCTTTAAAAGACTATGGTTAGCATTTTGCAGGAATTAATCGACAAAATGGAGAAATTCAGCAGAGATGAGAATCTAAACAGAAAGAAACAAGTGGAAAATCTGGGACTGGAAAATAGCAGTATCAGGAACTCAACTGATGAATTTAATGGAGCAGACACAAAGAGCAGGCAGCAAGGGAGGACATTTTGAAAGGCCACATCTAGACCTCAGTTGAGTCAGAGATGGAAATGGAGAAAAGAGACCGATGGACACAGTGAAAACGTCTTGGAATTTATGGACTTATAGTCCCAACAGAAAGGGGGTAGACTTTGGCAGAAGGGCATTTTAAGGACATCATAGTACTACTGTTAAAATCCAAAGGCAAAGAGACAATCTTAAAAACATCCAGAGGAAAAAAAGGTTTATCACCTCTACAAAAGCAACAATAAGATTGACAGTGGATGCATTCACAAGAACATCAATGCCAAAGTACAAATATGTCCGTATGCTGCCTTAAAACTGATGAAAGAAAACATCACACTAGAATTGTATATCCAGTGACAACAGCCTTTAAAAAATTGAATCTGGAAAAAAAAGACATTTCAAATAGAACAAGGAATGTTCCCCTCCAAGAAAATTCAAATAAAATAAAGTATACATCGGTGTTTTCAAGGGAAACAATCATGGAAGGAAACTTCGAAAGGAACAACAATGACAAGGGTAAATATGTAGATGAATGTTCAGTACATTTCGATTCTAGCAGCAAAACCAACAATGCACATGAGATTTTATGTGAGAAACTCAAAACTACTGCAAGTTGATTCTGACTCCTTCGACCCTATAAATGTGTAAGTTCTTGAAAAACAAAGGGGAGGGGGAGCAGACAGTGTACAAGGAAGTCAACCCAGCTAAGTGCTGTAAGGTCAGTACATCTAAGGACAGCCTTCGCAACGGTGGTGCCAGGACAGCTAGGTAACTATTAGGGGCCAGGGATCAGATAACCTTATTTCACACATCTTGCACACGCACAATATAATTCCAGGACAAATGCAGATCTCAAATGTGATGCCTAAAGTAATATTTACATTTTTAGAAGTCGACACACAATGTCTTCAAAAACTTGAAGCACGTTTTTTTGTTTTGTTTGTTTTGAAAGAGGACTAAAAGCACTAGCCATACAGAAAGGGAATACCTTCACCTGTTCGCATCACAATGAAACCCTTCTGTTCCTGCAAAGACCTCCCTGGCAGACAGAGGCAATGACTAGAGAGAGCAGCAGCACACAGCCCCAAAAGGCCCTTTAACTGGAGCATCTAACCGTAAGTCAGTAAAGCATACAGACTTCTCAATGGAAAACTGGGCAGATCTGTTATCTTCTCCGAGGCAGATCCAAGTGGCTCATACAGGAAAAGGTGTGTGACTTTGTTATAAAGTGTGTTGTTCCGGTTAAGTGTCATCAAATGATGTCCAACAAAGAGAAACTGCTGGGTCCAATTCTCATGACTGTTATTTAGTGTCTGCGAAACGCAAATTAAAACCATAGTGCAAACTTGAAACACAAAGCACTAGTTAGGCTAGGGTGTAAATAGCGATACCAATAGTATGCAGGCAGCGGGAAGGCATATTGGTACAATCTTAGAAAAATGTTTGGCAATGCCTGAAGAATTTGAACTGGAATTTGAAAATGGATACTTTATGATCCAGCAATTTCATTGTTATGTATATTCCCCAAAGAAGTGCTATCTACGTGTACCAAAAGAATGGTATGAAATATTCACAGCTGTGATATAACCAAAAACTCAAAACCACCCATCTGCTATCAATGGATGAAAAATAAATTGATATATTCAGACAAGAGACCTTGATACAGCAGGACATGTAGTTACATGCCAGAACGCTAATTAAAACAAGTGTCTATAATAAGAGAAGTTAAGGACAAAAGGATATAGAACACATATAGCATTCCATCTATAAAAAGTCCAACAGGCAAGCTACATAGTTAAAATTCAGAATAATGGATACCTCTAGGGAGAAGATAAGGGGGTTGCAATTTAGAGGAGGGACAGAAGGTGATAAGGCCCGATTTAAGAGCTGGTTTACTTTCTTACCACGGTCTACTGAAAATGAGCATCCCCTAATGAAGTAGTGGGTTACTTGTTGGGCTACTAACAAGGTTAGTAGTGTGAAACCGCCGTCTGGTTCCAAGGGAGAAAAATGAGGTTGTCTACTCCAATTAAGATTTAAGTCTCGAAACTCCACAAGGAAGTTTCATTCTGTCCCGTGGGGCTGAGGAGGAGTTGGAATCCACTCAATGGAAGGGAGTTTCATTTTGGTTTACCAGGAGCAGAGTTCCAAGCAGGCCTTGGGACTAAATGAAACCGAGAGTAAAAGCAGCTTTCCTTTAACAGTTATAAAACATTCGAACTATTGAGGCAAGTCCTCACAGCATTATTGTCTTTGTATTTACTCCACAAGTATTTGCAAAATTAATTGTGCACCCATTTCTTGAAGCAAATATTCAGCATGTTGTGAATAATTATTTTTGTGACATAGTTCTTTGTTTGAATTCTAATTCAATGACTCATTTGTTGTGATCTTGGGCAAGTACCTTAAACTCTTAAAATTTCAGTTACCTTCAGAGGGGATAACAGGCCTCGGTCCAAGATAAGCTATATTGACTCCCTTCCCAGAAGGCAATACAGAGGAGAGCACTGAAGATATAGCCTGGGGAGAGAGGCGGGTCTGTCCAGACCACAGGAGCAAACTAAGAGGGAGTGTGAGAGAGGACCAGGTATTGTGTTCTGTTGTACAGAGGTGCTATAAGTTGGAACTACTTGAGGGCACTAATTACTACAATGAACACAGCATACTTAGTGCCTGACAATAGATACAGATCACATAAATGCAGTCCCTCTTTCCTTTATTGCAGTACATACTTAAGATGTCTTCCTTCTTAAGGAGAATTTAAAAGATTCCTTCATTCGTAAGTTCTTAAAAACTTTTTGATGCTGTACCATGATAGTTAGCTTTGGGTCACCTTGGCTGAATCATGACTTTCAGTTGTTTGGTAGTTAAGGTCCAGTAATTCCATAGTGGGATCAGTTGTGAGCCGCCAGTAAGTTGTGACCAGGATGGAAGAGAAATCCCTTTACTTCTTGCCTGATGGCAATTCCTTGCAAGTGTGCCTTCCTTTCTCTATAAGTAGGTGCTGTGGGGGAGGGGAAGGAATTCACTTGGTTTTTTTTCTAGTCTGAATCTTACATTGGGGTCACTGGCCTCCTGTTTGGACCACCGGAGCAACCTGACCTGACCACCTGACCTGCCGGCCTCGGATTCACGGGACTCTGCAGCCACACCAGCCCGTGCGCTTCCTGCTGTATGTTCCTGTTTCCTGGTTTGTCCTCCTGCGTCTTCCTCGGGCCCCCATCTACATGAGTCAGAAGTCTCCAGCTCAACATGGGTGGACCAGAACCAGAATGGACTCCCCTGCTTTGACCATTGTGGGAGTCACTCAGTCTAACACACCTAACTACCTTTCCAATTTTGTTCATACTGCCAAAACTTTTCTTTTCCAGGTAATTCTGAAATAAAGTATTTTACTGTGTCCTTTCTGAACGCCTCAATGGGTATTTTTCTGGTTTACTGGAAATAGTTGTCTTCTGTCCAACAAAGAATCAATATTCAATTGTCTTTTTGCCAGTACACCCTGCACCTCCCATCAAACAAACAAAAATTTCTTGTGTTTAGTGTCTTAAGCTCAAAATAGCAAATATAGTAAAGAAAAAATTTTAAGGCACTTCTGAGGTCAAGGATAAATTAAATCCTGGACTCAAGCTTTTGTGAGTTAGGTTTATTGTGCCAACCTGGCCAATAGGAACACATGGGATTAATCAGCTTGCAGTTTGATTGGAGGGTAAAGAGATAACATGGCTTTGTGAGGCCCAACCCCTTTCCTTCTTGTTCTCTGGTGATCGGACCAGTGTGCTGATGCTTTAGCTAGTTCTTAGTCTCAACTTGTGTGCTATACTCCCTGTGGGCCAAGCCAACCTGTGGATCATGTTGCTAATGCTTGAAGCTCCTCCGAGACCTGTTTTGTCACGCTGCTGTGTACATCGCTTGAGATTGAGGCTGGTGGGTCCTGTCGCCTTGCATTGCTTGAGTTCGATATCCCATCAGGCCTGCTTCACTGAGCTCCTGAGATACTGGCTGTTGCCGACCCATCCTGCTGTTTGCTGCCTGCTGGCACTCTGTCTGCCTTGCCTAAAGGACTCCACTCTTTGCTTCTTGACCTTGGACCTGGCAGCCCAGGTGAGTTAAAGGATTTCCAGTACATTAACTGTCCCATGAAAGTGAGTTGACCTGAGCCCTAACACAAGTTTCATGATGAATACAGGCCTTAAAGTGTTGCCTACTGCCGTGTCTCTAATATATCCTTAACCACTTCTTTAATATTACTATTTGTTTGAATTCAAGTTAGCAACACTGGTATATCTAAATGTTGTAATTCCACTACAAAGACGTATTCTGAAATTGCTGTTCGATAAAATTCTTGGCAGCTAGTAGTCAGTTCATAGACAAAAAACACCATATAATATGAATATGAAAGTGGCATTTGAGAAAAAACAAACTATACACTTTTGGGAAATCAGTCAAAGTATTATTTATTTGTGGCATATTTACATAGTTACAAAATGGGTTTTACCCATCATCCTGCATGGTATCTTAAAATGAACCTGATATACTGGGAATTAAAAGAATCCAAGTCTCTTAATAATTTATGGATAACTAGCATCTTTCAGAACATAAAATATTATCAATTTGGCATCACAGAACACAAGTTCATTAGAAATTTGTTTTATCCATGGAACATAGGAAATTTAACAACATGGAAGTCATTTAGTTGAATCCTGAGCATCTTGATAATCTGCATAATTTTTAATAAATGTACATAACACTTTCAGTTGTATCATTTACTATTATATTATTTTTTCATCTCGATGTTTTACCTCATTAATCCTCCCGAAATAATAGGGCATGGAACACGGAAATGACGACAGACTGAGCGGGAGAACCAAGGCGTTTCCAGTTCCAGAAGCCTGTGGCGCCGCTCCAGGCACAATGTTGCTGTTCCTCCATCACGGGACAGGAGCGCCTGTAACTGTGCTGCCTGGTTCTTGTGCAGCTTTCCAGTTTCTTCCAAATATTTCATTAGAACGAGAAAGTGTATAAGCTTCTTACATTCACTTAGGTGGCTCCTGGAGCTCCTCAGGAGAAAGCTCACATAAAAGTACCAAAACAACACTGGTAAAAGAACCAAGTTCAAGATGGGTTTTCTTAAGATGCATGAGGGAGCAAAAAGTAAGTTGAGCCCCTCTGTCTGAAAGAAAGTTAACAGGGAAGAGGCTGGGGGAGGGGGGACGGAAGAGATCAAGAAAGAATGAAAGTAAGTGTACATAAACGCTGATGTGGGCGTTACAAGCAGATGGGTAGAAAGAAAAAAATTGGGGAGAGGGGTTAGGTAACTGGTAAAGTGATTATATAAGCGGTCTTAGACAATCAGCGTGTTTCATGGAATTTAGATTCCACCACTAAAATCTGCCGGGATCAAGTTGCCACGTTGTGTTTGAGATCATGACCTGTTCTTGCAAGGCTCTTCTAAGTTTAGTCTCATGCGCAAGAAGTGAAACAAATGAGGAACAAGCAAGAGAGAGTGAAGGCTGAGCATGTGGAGTCAGCCGTGGTCTGAAGGCTGGCGAAGATAACGGGCCAAAGAAGGAATCAGAGAAGCAGATCCAGATCATGTATTTCTCTCTTGCATCCCGCCCTTCTCTACGCCTGCTCCGCACTCACTCACCCAGTTCCAAAGAGCAGAAGGCTCACCAAATTAGCAGGTGCAGGAAAATGACTTGGCTTCACCCAAGTCATGGAATAACCCTGGCATTGCTCTTTGAGGATTCTAGGAAAGTCATCAACTATCAATGTTTGTGATTCTATTGAGACAAAACTCAAAAACACCAAATAATAAGATGAGACTTGGTAAAATAAAAAGAATATACTATATCTCTAGAATCTGTAAAAAAATCTCCCAAAACTGAAGAGGGAGTAAGGATAGAGATGAGGGATGGCAGCAGAATTATTTTAAGCATTGGCATAATTTCGTTCTATTCCTGATGAAAGAGGATAGCTTTTAATTTACTCTCGTGGGCGATTTCAATGTTTTGTTTTCATATCTTAATTTTTCAGAAATAAAAAGCAGCAGCAAATGGTAAAGATGGCTTCTCTGCTTCTTACTCATAAAACACAGAAAACAGATAAAATGTTCCATAAATAGCAATAAAATGCTCTGTCCCTATTACTACTTCTTGGCAAAAAAAAAAAAAGGGCCATTGCCACTGGCTCCATCCTTCCATCTCTCAATATTGGTAAAAAGGGTTGACTATGTCTGCATAGCCATTATGCAGTGTTTAGAAATGAGCATATACCATAGTTAAAGTTAGTACCTAGTCTTCTCATCCTCAGGTAAAAAGTATCAAAATAACAATTATTTGCAACAATATTCTCAATACAAAGCAAGCCATACATGTGAAGACAGTGCAGGGTAAGAGTTTCAACACCTTTTGTAAAACTATAAGAGATTGTGTGAATCCTTTTGCATCTCAACAATTATACAGAATAGTAAATAAATTATATTTATACAAGAAGCTATCTTCAAAAAGTTTATTTGAACAATACTCAATAGCATAAGAAAAAATTTTATTTTGAGTTACATATATCTAAAAATATATATTATTGGGTGAAGATTTCACTAAATACAAGCCTAAGGAATGAAATAAACTAGATTGAATATAAAAGTTTCTTTGGAAATATCAAAAAAAGTAAAGGCAGAATGGCACCAAGTTAGAAATGATGCGGTTAAGGCAAACTAATAAGAAGTCATCTTATCTAAACTAAGAGGCAAATAATTCCATAAACAACCAATAGTTGCCTCCAAAATTTCTCAATTATAATTTAGAGACTATGAATGGGACATAAGTCATGGGTGTTGTCAAGTTTCTACTTGGAAAGTTGGATAGATTTACACAAAATAATAGGAGTCCTTCTGAGATCAAGTACACTTGAGCCTTTTGCCACTTAATTATCATGTAGCAATGAGCAAATAAAATACAGTATACTCTAATAATCTTAGTAGGAATCTGGGAAATGCCAAAAATGATCATAAAGTAGAACAGTCCGGCCTAAAATTATACATGATGACAAAAAGAAAAATGACCAACTTGGTTATCTTGGCCAATGTTGCTAAAAATACGTAGCAAAATGTGCAACATCTCCCGACAGGCAGGCGTGCTACTGTGAACTGGTGAGCCCACTGCTCGGCATCAGACCTGAGATCATGTACACCCCGAAAGGATGCCCCAAGACCGATGGGGGAGAGATTCATCGCACATCAAAAGAAACAGTTCTTTCAAGGAACATTCAATACACGAGTCTTTAGTTGTATTCCTTAATAAACAAAATGATCAGTTATATACCATTAAATTAAATGTTGTAGAACATGACCTTTCACCTTATAAATTTGATATATCAAATGGTGCTATAAATATATTTATATGTATGTATATTTTGGGGGGGGGGACTATAGCATGAAATGATATAATCTTAAAAAGGATGTCTTTTCAGCTGTGAAAATGACACCATGCCTTTCTAGAAAAACTGTAGCCTACAAGGAAATTATAAACACCGCTGGGTTCACTGAAGCTACTCATTTAAAGACGGTACAAAATCTTCCTTTACAGCCAGCAATGAGAGCTGTCTCCGTACCCGGCACGCGTCTGCTCTCACATAGTCCTCGGGGGAAGGCGCTGCTTATACATGCCTGCTATTGCTTTGGCTGCGCTGTAGATCATCTGTCGACGAGACATGCCAGTAAAGGCCACGTGCCAATCAGTCCGGCTGACATTTAATGAGCTCTTTTCCAGGACTTCACCCACGGTTACCAAAAGGCCCGACCACCTTAAATTGTAGTCCTGGGGAGTTAGACTTTGAGCCTACGGAAAAAATGAAGAAGACAGTATTTATAATACATTTAAAAATATCACTAGAACAAGCTGTATTACCAAGTGATATTTCAAAGCTTCAGGTTACTTTTAATATAGATTATGAGAAATCTTGAGCAACACAGCAGGCTGCCAACTGAAAGGAAGTTATAAGGCTATAAAAAAGTCAAAACAATATTGCACACACTGACTGCCTAAAATATCTATGTTCAGTTCATTTTGCTATTCAAATGTAATTCATGTCTTAAATCTAACGACTATCTACTAAAAAAATTCAGATACAGAGGGCTCAAGTTCTAGTTCTATATTCAGCATTACTTCCAGCTACTAAGTGGATTAGTTCTAAAATGACATACTCCTAGACTTTTTTTTGTACTTCTCATAAAATCTCTACCAAAAAGAGGGGAAACGTAAAAGCTGAAATCCATTGAGAGATGAGTCCATTAAGGCACAGAAAGAGGTCCCAGGAACAGCACTGACACGTGAGTGTTCAGGGTGTCGGGCCCCTACAGCTGGGGCTATTCCACTTTGAGACCCCACATGCGTGGTGCAGACCTGCTCCACAGGGTCTTCAAAGCTGTGATCTTTTGGTAGCGGACTCACAGGTCCGCTTCTGATGGGGCCTCTGGGTATGTTTGAACTTCCAATCTGGTAACTACCACTGCAGCACACAGAGACTGATACGTATCAGTAATATCCAGTCCAGGACATCAACCACTGTTATGCCACTCGTACTTAACTTGGCCTATGTATGCTTCCACTCAAATAAGTTTGTTCATCTACACATAAACTCATTGCCTGATGTATAAAAATAATGTGGCTTTTCCACTGTTGTGTTGTCAAATAGAGTTTAGAAAATTTTATCTATATGTAAAAGGGATTTATAGCATGACCCTAAATATACTGTACTTATGTATCACCAAGACTTAAAGAGCTTTTATAAAACACAAGTTTCTCAAGTCCCAAACACAGCCTACTGAGTTGGAAACTCCACAGCTGGGTACTAAACAGTACCAAGCCCACTGTTGAAAAGTAGGTTCCGACCATAGCAACACCTGCTACAGGACAAAGCAGAAGTGCTGCATAAGGTTTCCACGGCTATATATTTACCTTTACAGGAAGAGAAAGTGTCGTCTTTCTTCTCTGGGGGACTATGAGTTGGAAATGCTGGCCTTAGGTTAACAGGCCAACGCTTACTCTACTCGGCCGCCCACCAGGGTTCCCCAGGTCTGTGATGCGAACAGTCCAGTCACTGCCTAGACTATCACCTCCCACAATGCACACTGTACTATCAGTAATTCACTGGTTCCAAGAGAAAGAGCAGATATCTCTTTAAGGTATTCAAAATGGTGTTGCTGAAACTTCAATAGACTTAACAATCACCCACCAAGGCTCTGGTTAAAATGCAGGTTTTAATTCAGTACCTTTGGGTTGGACCCTGAGTGTTCTGCATTTTGAACAAGTTCCCAGATGAGACTTCAGATGCTAGGCAGAACACATACTGATGAATAACAAGACTCCACACAATAGCTGGGTTTAATTTTAGGGCTGAAGATAGATCATGTATACTTAAATTCAACAAACCCAAATTCTATGAACATATTTTTCCAAATGAATTAAAAAACAGCTCAACTCTATTCCCCTAAAGAAAAATCCTTAAAAAAAACAACAACACTAAAGAGGCATAAACACACAACACCTGAAGATGGATTAAAAAAAGAACTGGTTATCATTGACCCCTGGGAAGGGGGCTACACTGTTGGAGATGGGAGGAAGACATACTAACATTTGTAACACTTGTATCTTCTCAATTTTAGACCAAATGAGAAGAAATAAAATGAAAAAATACTAGGGGGAAAAAGCTGAGTAAAAAGGAAATGCTATGCTTTAGACATTGCTCTCCACATTAACCACTCATGCCAGCTTGCTGTGTAGCTTGACTTTGCAGGCCTTCTTTCTCTCTTCATTCATATACCTTTAAAACAAACACATCCACCCTCCTGTCAATAAGCTGGGATCACACGTGTTCAATGCACGCTCGAGCTAAGTAAAGGCTTGTCTTTTTTAATAGAACACCTAGTTCAGAAACGGGAAAGGTGGTTTTGTTGTTGTTGTTGTTTTCCGTTCGTTTGTTTTCTGATAAACTCCATGAAGTAAATATTTTGGGCTTTGTGCACCAGGTAGTTCTCTACTGCAACCGTTCAACTGTTGTGTGAAAACCAAACATAACCCAGGGCTGCCAATTCCATTCCGATTCATAAAGACGCTACAAGATAGTTACACAGGGTTTCTGAGACAGCTAATCTTTATGGATTCTGACTTCCTCATCTTTGCCGGCTCAGCAGCTGGTGGGCTTGACCTCTAACCACCCAATGGTTAATCAAGTATTAAGAATTGGTTAACAGCCCAATGCTTAAGTAACCCAGTGTACCACCAAGGCTCCTACTACAGCGATAATCAGTCATCAAGAGCAAGTAAAAAGATGGGCAAGATGCGCTACAATAAAACTCATTAACCTGAACAGACAATAGGATAGACTTGGCTATGGGCCATTATGGATGACTTCTGATCAAAAGCAATGTTAGAGACAATAGGAGCCTCCTTAATGATAAGGTTTCTAATATCTTATCAAGGACCCCTGGTGGCCTATGGGGTTCCGTTCTGGGCGGCTAATTCCAAGGGGACAGTTAGAAACCCCCATCCACTCTTCAGGAGAAAGACAATCCTTTCAACTTCTCCAAACTTACAGTCCTGAAGCCCCACGGGGAGTTCTGCTCTGTCCAGTAGCGATGCCCTGAGTTTCTTAGGGTTATGGCAGGGGAAGTTGTGGGAAAGTGGACAGCTAATAATGAGTACAAGAAAGAACAAAATGTTCTAAAACTGATTGTGACAATAATTGCAGAATTCTTTTAAACATGTTAAGCCACTGAATTATATAGTATGTAAGTTATGGCAATAAAACTTAAAAAACATTTTTTTAAAAAGAAAGGAAACAGGTTTTCTCGAGGATGTTTTAAAAACCTATTTTAAAACAATTATTTAAAAAATAAAATATATTTACAACCTTGCAAACCTATAGGGTAGTTCAACTCTATCCTATAGAGTCGCTATGAATCAGAATTGATTTATATGCCAGTGGTCTTGATAAAACTTCAGTAGAACTTACTTATAAAACCACTAGGACTCAGTATGTTTTTGATCTACATCAGTGGTTCTCACCCTTCCTAGTGCCGCAACCCTTTAATACAGTTCATGTTGTGATGACCCCCAACCATAAAATTATTTTTGTTGCTACTTCATAACTGTGATTTTGCTACTGTTATGAATCGGGCGACCCCTGTGAAAGGGTCGTACAACTCCCAAAGGGGTCGCGATCCACAGGTTGAGAACCGCTGATCTAGATGAAATCTTTCCATTGTAATACTTCATTTGGTTATCTAAGTTCGATCATATGAAATTGCCACTGTTTAACTGTTTGATCTTCAATGACATCAGTTTTGGATGGTCTAAACTAATACTTAATAATTAGGTAGAATTTAGATTCTCATAGAAATTCATCCAGTAGAACAGAAGCCCTAGAAGTACAATGATTAAAATGCTCAGCTATTCACTGTAAGCCATCCCACGGGAGAAAGATGAGGCTGCCTACTTCCCGAAGGTTTAGAGCTTTGGAAACTGTGAGGTTCCGAGACTGTAACTCTTTATGGGAGTAGAAAGTTCTGTTTTTCTCCCGAGGAGCAGCTGGTGTTTTCGAACTGCTAACCTTCTATTTAGCAGCCCAATTTGTAGCCATTATGCCAATAGGGCTCCCTGGGAACTCTATAAAGCAGTTCTATTCTGTCATAGAGTGGCTATGAGTTGGAATCAGCTCAATGGCAGCAGGATTGGTTGTAGGCTTTGAAAAATATATCAATATAATGAATTATATTGTATTCACTTAAAATCTTTCAATCACTTTCATAGTGGAGTATGTTGAACATTTACACATATTTAAAATGTTTTCCTGAACTTCTTAAAACAAGTTAGGATAAAAATTACAACATAAATGAAAGAAAATTTTTTTTTTAATTTCAAAGTCTCCACCATCGATTCTAAATTAGAAAGCTCGAAGAGTTCAGGAACTCTGTGAGCATGAGCAGGCATCAAAAGGATCATGAAAACATTCCACTATCCCTTTATTCCATTTTCCACAAATATTTTAAAACTTCCTCATATATGCCAAATTTGTATATAACGTATATGTGTTAATCTGTATTTTGCTTGGTAGAAGATCCAATAATTTAATCAGATTCTCTCAAACACAACTTCAAAATAACATTAAGAGATAGTTATAAAATTACATTTAATGCACACAAAATATTATATATATATACGCACAAACAAGATATCAACATCATCACACATTTCTGTTTAGATTCTCCTGAAAACTATGGAAACTTAAGTATTCTACTTTTGGTCAACAAAAGATAGTGCCCATCAACTAAGATTTCTGGATGCTGGCTTGCTACCTGGAGATGAACATGAAGAGGAAATGAAGAAGGCAATAGTAGAGATGAAATGTGAGATACTTGGAAAAGTAAACAAAGCTGGGCATGAAACAAGCACAAGAGGGATATGAAGGGTGGTGGCGAAGTGGTTACAGGCTGGGCTGTGATCCAGAAGGTCTTGGTTGGAAGCCACCATCTGCTCCTCTGGAGGAAGTCAAGGCGTTCTCTCCGGTTAAGCGTAACAGTCTCGGAAGCGTACAACGGCAGTTCTACTCTGTCTTAGAGAGTCACTAGGAAGCCGCATCAAAACCATGGCAGGGAGTTTGATTTTGAAGTTGAAGGGCAAGAAACTCCATCATAAAAACAAATGAATAAAATACAGAAACACTGATTCACTACGGATGTATTATCTAGCCAAAGAAAGTTGGAAAACAAAAGTAGGCAGTTCCTAAAGCAACATGGAAAAAGCAAGACATGTTAAAAAACAAGACAAAAAGAGAAAAGACTAAAGCAAATTCTAGAACATATCTTTCCAACAAAATACTTCATACAGATTTTAATAGTGAAAGGAGTCTGGGAAGCTTTCCCAGAAACATGAAGAACAAGCCTACCTGTTGTACGAATTCCAAAGGCACCGGTGTGGCTTGTGTAAATGTTTCCAAGTGAACCCCGTGGGCAGGGTCCTCGACTATCACACAGCCGATGTCAAACCATCTGCAATGGAGCACATACATGCCTGTTACATGGTTCACGTGTTAAATAAAAGTTAAGAGTGACCAGACAAACTAAAAATGAAGCACTACTATTCAGGTAAAAGGCAGATTTACAAAAAGTCCTATTTCTGATCAGTTTACAGGTGGATAATCCAAACCACAGCACCCCCACCCACCTGCAATCGAAAAAAATTACTATTGCAGCTTAGTTTTATGAGGGAAACAAAAAAACTAGGAATAAAAATAATGTAATAACTTAAAATTATCAAGGAAAATTCACTTTCCTTGATGACGGAGACATAGGGGTGGGTATGTTTAAATGTGCAGCAGATAAATTTGCACTCACTGAACATAAAAATAGTTTAAAATGGGTAATGTCTTTTATCACTGGTTATAATAGGAGACATTTTATAATGCCAACTCTATCATTAATATAACTACCTATTAGCAAATTATGAATATGCTCAGAGAAAATAACAAATAATCTAATTCCTGATATACTCTTCTATAATCACATTTTCTGAATTATCTATGGGCCATTTACAAGTTGAGATAATAGAGTCATTTGTAGCATGACCAGCATTTCAGTCAGTGAACCAGAATTACAAAATAATCAGATGCTCTGAAATTCTGAATTTAAGTAGTATTAAGAGTATATAGAATCATATAATGTTCAATACCTCTGTTTTTTTAAGCATATCTAATAAAGGGCAGTGAAACATGAGGGTGAGTATTTGTGGAGAATTTGTTCACAAATTAAAAAAAAAACAAAAGAAAGTACTGACAGTTATCATGAAATTTTGAATAAAATGCGATTTTATCTATAGTGTTCATATTGTAAGCATTTTTCAATTAAGAACATTAAATCATAAGATTTATTTTATTTTGTCTACAAAACAATACTTGCTATTTTGTTATAACAACTTTCTCAATTAAGATAATGCATCTGTCTTCCAACGTGTCTGAAAAGAATCCCATTAGAAGGTCCTGAATTGAGTGTAAGAAAAACAGGGAACAAAACTAAACATTATAAAGAAATCAGGCTTATCACCAGATAGATATGCATGGAACCCCGAGACTATGGTCCATGGTCACTCTTTAAATCCGAAACTGAACTTATCCCTGTGGCTCAATTTCCCGGCAAACAACAGACAGCTCTATAAGGGGTACAGCACTAGGGAGGCATACACTCACTCCTTAGAATGACCCATCATTTGAGAACTAAAAGGCAGCAGAGAAGTAGCAGGGATTATCAGGTACTTGGAGTCCTGAGTTTATTACTTATCTGCTTGTCCTCCCTCCTTCCCTCCCTCTCTTCTTTCTTAAAATCACACTAGAAACCATCAGCAGAGTTCCTATTTTATATTCCTAATCATCGTAATATTCACCTCTGCTCAAATACAGAGCTGTTTTGGTAAGTCAATTCTAACACTAAAATGTTGATAGTTATTAAAAGCATACATTTGCAGTACTATGAGAGCTATAGGAGGACAACATTTCGGAACAATTTCTGCAAAGGGTGAACTTTCAAAGGTAAGCTGAGATCTTCAGTTGACCCTGAGGACTACCCAGTCTTAACACAATTTCTGGCCAAAGGACACAGCACTGCGTGACCCACCACCACCTCTGCCCGCCCATCTAGATGAAAGTCAGAACATTCACAGATCACCTGGCTACTCCAGAGCTTATTTTTTTGATTGGTGTTTATCAAACATTCCTGGTTCTTTTTTAAAAAATCATTTTATTGGGGGCTCGTACAACTCTTATCACAATCCAGACATCCATCCATTGTGTCAAGCACTTCTATACGTTTCCTTCATCATTCTCAAAACATTTGCTTTCTACTTGAGCCCTTGGTATCAGCTCATTTTTCCCCTCCCTCCCCACTCCCATCTCTCCCATGAACCCTTGATAATTTATAAATTATTATTATTTTGTCATATCTTACACCGTCCAACATCACTCTTCACCCACTTCTCAGCTGTCTGTCCCCCAGGGAGGAGGTTATATGTAGATCCTTATAATCGGTTCCCCCTTTCTCCCTCACCTTTTAAGATACATTGACTGTGAAAAATCACTAGGCTTTCAAAGAGAGTGCGCTATGAAAAAACATAAGGCAAAGGAGACTAAAGAGGCAGACCCAAACCAAAAAGCCAAACTCACTGCCATTGAGTCAGTGCCCGACTCATCGCAACCCTATGAGACAGGACAGAACAGCCCCTGTGCATTTCCAGGACTATAACTCTTTACCAAAGTCAAACACCCCATCTTTCTCCCAAGGAGCGGCGGGTAGTTTCAAACTCCTGGCGTTTACGGCTAGCAGCCCAGCGTGGACCACTACGCCTCGGGGTTCCTACAGGAAGCCAACCCACAAAAGATCGAAATACTGGAATATAAAAGAATTTAAATATAACTATCACTTATATATTCAAGAACACAGGAAAATATAATCAAATTGACATGCTTTAACTACTCATTCGGTGAATGAAATCTATTTTAAAAAATCAAGAACTCATTGTATGGATTTAGTAGACTTGTTATTGTTTTAGCCAACTCACAGCAACCCTGCGTACAACAGAATGCAACACGGCCTGGTTCGTCCTCATAACTGTTCTGCGTTTGAGTCCACCGTAGCAATGTGTCAATCCATCTCATCCAGGGTTTTCCTCTTTTTCCCCCCAACTCTCCACTTTACCAAGCATGATGTCCTTCTCCAGGGACTTGTCTCTCCCGCTAATATGTCCAAAGTAAGTGAGACTAAATAACACCATCCTTGTCTCAAAGGAGCACTCTGGCTGTCCTTGTTCTAAGACTGATCTGTTCGTTATTTGGGCAGTGCATGATACTTTCAATATATTCTTAGCCAGTAGCACATTTCACATACATAAATATTTATTCACTCTTCCTTATTCAATGTCCAACTTTCAATGCATACGAGGCGACTGAAAATACCCCAGCTTGTGTAGCAGATTTACACAGTGCAATTCGCTATTTGATCTCCTGACTGATGCTTCTATGAGAACTGAATGTAGATCCAAGTAAGACAAAATCCTCGGCAACTTCAAACCCTTTCTCTGTTGATCATGATGGTATTTACTGGTCCAGTTGTGAGGTTTCTGGTCTTCCTGACATTGCGTTGTAGTCCGTACTGAAGGCTGTAATCCTTGATCTTCATCACAAGTGCTGCAAGTCCTCCTCACCTTTGGCAAGATTGTGTCATCTGCGTACCGCAGGATGTTAATAAGCCTCTCTCCAAACACTCTTCTTCATACACGCCAGCCTCGCTAATGATTTGCTCACCAGATAGATAGACCAAATATGGTGAAGAGGATACAACCCTGACATACTTTTCCTGACCTGAAACCATGCAGTATTCCCGTGTTCTGTTCGCAAAACTGCCTCTCGATCCACGTATCAGTTCCAAATGAGCACAGTGAAGTGCTCCAGAATTCCCTTTCCTCTCACAGTCATCCAGTGTTTTATGGTCCACACAGTTGGCTTGGCATGGTCAATGCAACACAAACTGACCTCTTTCTGGGATTCTCTGCTTTGAGCCAAGATCCATCTGACATTAGCAATGTTATCCCTTGTGTTCCATATTCTCTTCTGAATCTGGCCGGGACTTCTGGCAGTTTCCTGTCAATGTGCTGCTGTAACCATTGTTGGATGATCTTAAACTAATTTTTCTTGTGTGCAGTATCAATGATATCATTCTATAGTTTGAACATTCTGTTGGATCACCTTTCTTTGGAATAGGCATAAGGTACGTCACAAATTTGGTGTCTACCACGAGGGTCTCTTGCCCATAATTTCCATTACTCTGAATAACTGGGTAAATCACTATGCTTGCCATTAGAAGTTAATTATATCTATATCAATAGATCATTGGATCATCTTATAGGCAGTACTACTAACTGATTATTTGTGCAAACTTAGAAAACCATACTACTATCTCTATTTAATAAAAAAGAATAAATAGAAATGTCAGCTAAACTATCCCAGGTTACGTAACTCGTTAAGAAATACAGCTAACACCAGAATACACTTTCCTCTGCTTTAATAATTGGACACACTTTCTGTTGGATATTCAGTATGATGACCCCCAAGCCCCACCCCAACTCCCACTTAAACTGTTTTCCCCCAATAAAAAATAAGCCTCTTACTTGTCAGGTAACAATTCTGCAATGAAGTTCTCTACTGACACAGCAGTTTGTTTTTCATGGATCACCCCAGACCGACGTAAGCTATCTATCCGTTCCTGGGCTCCCTGAGAAAAAAACAGCATGGGTTACAGCAGCATCTCAAATTATTCAATGCTAA